GCACTTGGGAGACTGAGGCAAGGAGTATCACAAGTTCAAGGCCAGCCTCAGCAACTTAGTGAGGCCCTGTCTCAAAATTAAAAAGGGCTGTAGTATAGAAAATTAAAGGGCTGGGCATGTAGCTCAGTGGTACATGCTTCTGGATTCAACCCCTTGTGCCACCCCTGAAATTCACTTGACTGGGTTGTAGCTGAGCAGTAAAGCATGCACTTAGCAAGCAAGAAGCCATGGGTTCAATCTCTAGCACCGAAAATTAAATAACTATGAAATTTAAAAACGAGAACACACCAGTGGGAAGACATTCAAGTGAAAATCTCACCTTTGACTGGGGTGCAGCTCAGGGTAAGACACCGGCTCAGCACATACGGACACCCAGCTCAGCGAAAAAAAAAAAAAAAAAAAATCTCCCATGATCATTGTGTTGTGGTCTATTTGACTCTTGAACTTGAGAAGAGTTTGTTTGATGAACATAGCTGCACCATTGTTTGGGGCATATATATTAATGATCATTAAGTCTTATTGGTGTATGGTTCCCTTGAGCTGTATGTAGTGTCCTTGTTTATCCCTTTTGGTTAACTTTGGCTTGAAGTCTATTTTATTTGATACAAGCATGGACACCCCTGCTTGCTTCCGAGGTCCACGTGAGTGGTATGATTTTTCCCAACCTTTCATCTTCAGTCTGTGTATGTCTTTTCCTATCAGATGAGTCTCCTATAGGCAGCATATTGTTGGATCTTTTTTTAAAATCCAGTCTACTAGCCTATGTCTTTTGATTGGTGCATAAGCCATTAACATTTAGGGTTACTATTGAGATATGGTTTGTACTTCCAGCCATATTTGATTATTTATGTTACTTAACATTATTTGTTTTTCCTCTATGATTAGTTTTTCCTTTACTGTACTGCCTCCTGCTGTTGGTTTTCATTGTTATTTCCATTTCCTCTTCCTGTAATGTTTTGCCAAGGATGTTTTGAACAGCTGGTTTTCTAGCTGGAAATTCTTTTAACTTTTGTTTATCGTGGAAGATTTTTATTTCATCTTTAATCCTGAAGCTTAATTTCGCTGGATACATGATTCTTGGTTGGAACCCTTTTTCTTTCAGCGTTTGAAATATATTGTTCCAGGATCTTCTAGCTTTCAGAGTCTATGTTGAAAGATCAGCTGTTATCCTGATTGGTTTACCCCTAAATGTAATCTGTTTCCTCTCTCTTGTGGCTTTTAAGATTCTCTCCTTATTCTGTATGTTGGGCATCTTCATTATTATGTGTCTTGTTGTGGATCTCTTAGGATTTTGTACATTCGGCGTCCTGTAGGCTTCTAGTATTTGGATTTCTTTTTCATTCTTTAAGTCTGGGATGTTTTCTAGTATTACTTCATTTAATGGTTTGCTCATTCCTTTGGTTTGGACTTCTATATCCTCTTGTATCCCAATAACTCTTAAGTTTGGTCTTTTATGTTATCCCATACTTCTTGGCTGTTCTGCTCATGATTTCTTAACATTCTCACTGAGCTGTCTATGTTCTTTTCAAGTTGAAAAACTTTGTCTTTGTTGTCTGATGTTCTATCTTCTAAGTGTTCTACTCTGCTGGTAATACTCTCATTTGAGTTTTTAATTTGGTTTATTGTTTCCTACATTTCCAGGATTTCTGTTTGTTTTTTTTTATATCCTCTATCTCCCTAAAGAGTTGATCTTTTGCTTCTTGGATTTGTTTATGTAATTCATTGTCTGATCTTTCATTGTCTGAATTTGCTGAATAATGTCTTCCTTGAGACTCCAGATCATCTGAAGCATGTATATCCTGAACTCTTTATCTGACATTCCATCAGCTGCAGATATTACCTCATCTAATGTTGAATTGACCTGCATTGTTTGTGGTCCTTTCTTTCCTTGTCTTTTCATACTGCTCATGTTTCTTTCTAGCTTTGTGAAATTGTTGTATTAATGGTTTTCTCCTTATATATTTATATTGTTCTTGTATAGCTCCAAAATCCCTTTTTTGTGGATAAAGACAATGTTAACAGTTCCCAATATCAACAGTACATCATCTAAGCACAAGTTTTCATTATTAATACATTTATAGTTAGATTCTAAGTCTATAGATATTGGTTTCAATTATTATTTAAAAATATAGGGCTGGGGATGTGGCTCAAGCAGTAGCGCGCTCGCCTGGCATGCATTCGGCCCAGGTTCGATCCTCAGCACCACATACAAACAAAGATGTTGTGTCCGCTGAAAACTAAAAAATAAATATTAAAAATTCTCTCTGTCTCTCCCTCTCTCACTCTCTTTAAAAAAATTATTTTAAAAATAAATAAATATATAGTCATTAGTTTCATAAAAGGCATACCATATGTGGATCAGCCACAGAACCCTGCTGGTAGCCACGCCCCCATTGATGGGTTTTAAGGGTTGATGGGCTTCCTCCAGACTAGCACGGAGGAAGGGTGGGGCAGGCTTCCTCCTCTAGTCTGGGCTGGGTGGGTGCCGGGCTTCCTCCTCCCTCATATTTTGACTAGATATAATTCTTCTCTAATCTTTCACCTCTCTTAGGTCAGTAGAATTTTATTCACTTTGTTCTTTTAATTTGCCTGATTAATTTTTTAGTCATATTTCCAAGGTTTGCAAACAGTCTTCCTATTTTCACCATAATTGATTATTTTTAGTAATGCTCCCAGGCTGATATATCAGAATCAGAAGATTATAATTTATGGCAGTCATTCTCTATACTCCTTAGTTTTCTCAAATACTTAACAACAGAAGGGACAAAGAATGTGCATTTGACTATTGAAGTGCTCCCACACATGTAAGTCTCAGCTTAACTAAATATATATTACTCACATGGTATGTTCTCTATGTGAAATATTTCCTCACTCCACTATCTAAATATTTATAAGTTCAGTCATTTAGCAGAAAGGTGGTTTTAGATATTTAAAATAATTTAGTATATTTGAACCTGTACTAACCTAGCTCATAGGTGCATTAATTTGCCTACTTCCCATGTCAGACTGAGCTCCAAAATGACACCACACATAAATCCTCCCTAAAGGATACCATCGTTAAAAAGACCTTGTATTTATTTGTTGGCTGTATATTTATATAAAATAAATTTTATTTGTACAATATATTATTTTATATATTACTCATAAAATTATATGTTTGCATGAACATTGTATTATGTGTCTCTGTGTGTATTGTTCTCTGGTGATGTGCAATTTCCATTAGCTTAAGTTGACATATCTTTTTCCACTCTCAAAGCACACAAAGTTCAAAACTTATTTGCCAAACATAGAATAAGTCACAAAAGCACACTGAGTTGAAACTGTCTTCGAAAAACCATTGAAATCCTGCAGGGGGCCTGAGAATAGCTAGCTACCTTCACAAATTAATTTTTTTGGAAAGCTTACTGACCTGCATCCTGGCTTCAGTCACATGCATGACTTATAAGCTCCTTTCTGAGTAGAGAAAATTGCAAATGTTCAGTATTTGAAGTTTTGGATGAAATGAAATGTATGATGCATATTTCATGCTTGTTTTAAAATTTCTACCCCCACCACAGTACACTATTTTACAATATTCAGCTTGAGCCTTGCTTAGTAAACACTCTCCAGTTTGAGCCCTTCCCTGAGAATAGTACCTCATGCTGAGAGTAAAGGCTGGGGAACTACATCCCCACCCCACCTGGGAGACTCCAGGAAGTAAGAATGGGGATCATCCTCCTCTTCAGGCCTCTCTAGTCCTTGCTAACTCAATCTGCATATGTATATATCCTGCCTTTTGTCCTGTTCTGCCTCCTCTATGGGCCAACTAAATCTACATAGTATGAGTGGAGGCTGCACTAATTGCATTTAAGTAGTGGGATACCCACCTTACCCTCCAGAAAGAAAGAGAGAAAGATGCACCTCAGACAGATAGATATGGGGTGCGTGGAGAGGCACTTACCTCAGTGTAGAATCTCAGTTTGGGAACCTCCAATATGTTACCGCTGTTGACCGGTGACGGTAAGGAGTCCTTGCTTCCCCAATGTTGAAGAATAACACCAAAGAAGCACGCTGAGGCAAGGTCAGAGTAGAAATTAGAAGTTTATTAAAGGACAGCAGAAAAGACTTCTCCCGGAGGAAGAAGGGGACCCAAGAGGTGGAATTGGTGGAAGAGCGGTTGTTTCCCCTTTTTATAGTTTTTGGTGATGGAATGTAGGTGGGAAGGCCCGAGGGGTGGGACAGAGGTGGGCCAAAGAAGTTATAGGGGCACTTCTTCATCTTTAAGTTTGCTGTTTATTAACATTTCTTTGGGATGGGCTATCTTCAAATCTGCTGGGGCTGTTCATTAACATTTCTTTGGGATGGACTTTGGGCCTAGGGCTTTTCTCAGGACTTCATTAACATTCCATGAGCTGTCCTGCATTTCCAGGAATTCATTCTCAGCATGGCCTCCATTTTAGATTTCATTCGATATTAGACCCAATTTACCTAACTACACTGACTACCTAATTTTAAATCTGGCTTCACTTATAGCACCTAGATTTTGTTTCTACAAATTTTAACTGCTTCGAAGTTTAGCTTCTTCTCTCCAGTTTAATCAAACTGCATAAATTTGATTTATCCTTTTTTTGTCATTCACTTATTTCTAATGTGGTCCAACCGTCTGAAGGATTGTCTAGCCCCCTGGTGAAACAATTGAAAAGAATTTCTAAAAACATCACATTTTTCAGACTCCAAACATTTCCCCAGTATAGTCCTTGTTTCAGTTATCAGTCCCTAGCAAAAGAAATAGACTGTGGGTTAAACACTAATCAGTGCCTATGACAGTTTGCAGTGAAATAAGAAAGTTTCTAAAAGAATTTGGACATTAGGGGAATGGAGAGAGGAGCTGTCCACTCCCTTTATCTCCCTCCAATCTTTAGGAGAGGATCTAAACAGAGTGACTTTGGTTGTAAAGTAAGGAAATGTACTCATAAAACATGTGAAGAAATCCACCTATTCTATGTTTCCCCTGCTTGTAGGCACAGTGCAGCCCTCCATGTAACCCAGCCTGCAATCGTCGAGAAGTGAGTAAGTAATAAAATGTCCAAAACCTCTCTGTTGAGTCCTCCAAGTTCTTCCTTTGGGATTGATAAACAGTATGCTTGGGGGTGTTTGCAGCCCTGGGGCTGAACACAGGCAAAATGTATTTGTGATCACTTTATTTTAAGCTCATTTTGTTTGTTTATTTGTTTCCTGGTGAATTCACTTCTTTTTTTTTTTTTTTAATTTTGTGTGCTTAAATTATGTAGTTTTATTTTGTCTGGTTGTCTTCATTTTCTCTATCTGAGGTTTTGTTACCAAAAGCTCAGTCTGTGTCCCCTGTTTTGAGAAAAAGGAAAAAGAAGTTTTACTAATTTGCTACCAAAGGAAAAAAACAGGACTATGCCAGAGACCATAATTGTGCCTATTATAGAGAAGAGAGGATTTTTAAAGAAACGATCCAAAGACTAGAGTTTCCAGGTGTTTCCTGCAGGGGGCTTGTGATTCACTTGTTAATTTGGGCGACCCTTTTGAGATAAGCATCAGTAGCAGAACAGCAAAGACTGTATTCAGAGGATTAAGTGGACCACTGTTAGTTTTTTCTCTGTTCTGAAAAGAAATGAATTCAAGCTTCGCTGGCCATAGTCTTTAAGATGTAAATGTACCTGGCCTCAGTTGGGAAATACAAATTTAACACTTAAAGACATGTTTTCTACATCTGACCTAAAGTCTGGCTTTTAAAACTAGCAAATGATAAATCTAAACTTGAGGTTTTTTTCTTGTGTATACCTATATGGTTATGTGCTTATTATATTGTTTGCTTCCATCGTACTAAATTAACTTATTAAGTAAAAACTGTTCAGTTAGCCCATAACTGTAGTAAATACGTGATGAGTAATTTCAATCTGTTGGTAATGATGAAGTCTTTTTTTTTTTTAAGGAGAGAGAGAGAGAGAGAGAATTTTTTTAATATTTATTTTTCAATTTTCAGTGGACACAACATCCTTTATTTTATTTTTATTTGGTGCTGAGGATCGAACCCAGCACCCCACGCATGCCAGGCGAGCATGTTACCCCTTGAGCCACATCCCCAGCCCAAAGTCTTTAAAATTTAGTAACTTGTTTTCCTGGCCTAATGAACAATTGGGATATGTGTCTCTAGATACTTAAGATGCAGCATTTTAGGCCTTTTTTAAAAAATATTTTTAGTTGTCAATGGACCTTTGTTTTTTAATTTACTTATATGTGGTGCTGAAGATAGAACCCAATACCTCACACATGCTAGGCAAGTGTGCTACCTCTGATCCACAGCCTCAGCCCTAGGCCTTTTTTTTTTTTTTTTTTGGCCAAGAAATACCTTAAATGGGCTGTGGCTGTGGCTCAGCAGTAGAGCACTTGCCTGGCATATGTGAGGCACTGGGTTAAATTCTCAGCACCACATATAAATAAATAAATAAAGGTCTATCAACAACTAAAAAAAATGTAAAAAAATAAATACCTTAAAGTGTTAACTATGCTTAATTTCCATGATTTTTTTAAAATCTAAAAATAACTATTCAAACCCGTAAATTAAATAAATATGCAGGACAAGCATTTATAAAAATTCATTCTGTTTAAAAAAAAAATTTGGGATTGTGGCTCAAGCGGTAGAGCGCTTGCCTAGCACACTGGGTTCGATCCTCAGCACTAAATAAAAATAAAATTAAAATATTAAAAATAAATAAAAATAAAAACATTTGTTTTGCTATAAAAGCTCTTCACTAAAGGCTTTCTAAAGAGAATTAATGGCTACCAAATACGTTTGTTTATTTAGCATAATGCCAACAGTCTATGATTAAAAACTGAAAGAACTCACATGCTCCTTTGTACTAGGTGAGCTACTGCTATTTTTCCTGTCCTTTGCCTAGATTGGTTTCTCTAAAATGAAGCCTTTTAAACCAGCCATCATTGCATACCTGTAATACCAGCAATCCAGGAGACTAAGGCAAGAGGTTCATAAGTTCGAGGCCAGCCCAGGCAATTTAGTGAGGTCCTCAGCAATTTACCAAAACCCTGACTCAAATTTTAAAAATTAAAAAATGATTGGGGGTATAGCTTGGTGGTAAAATGCCCCTAGGTTTGTTAAGTAGTAGTAATGAGCAGTGGAATGCATACTGAGGTCACAGGTTTACTTTAAGTTACTCTTAAAGTTTTCTTTGTTACTGACAAGGCAGATGAGTAAATAACTTGTAGCAGATAACCAGTAGAAAAACATCTGTGCACAGACCTTGAGAGTAAGCAAATAGAAACAAAAGGAGCTAATTGGGGGGCTAGTTGGTGAAATGTATCAAGAAAGAAGGATTAATGAGGCAAATTCTTGACAGGGTCCACTGAGGTCAGGATAAAGCTAGGAGTTATGGCGCCAAGTATCTCCTATCTCAGAAGGGGGAATTATTTAGTGGTACAGATGCCCTAAGGTAAATTCTGACCTACCACTGACCCCAGTGCCCACATTAACATGGGATTGACTTTTAGATGAAGCTCTCCTGAATACAATGACCACCATGACAGTTCTGGAGAGAACCAACTAAGGTCAAAAACTCCACCGCCTACTCCACTGAACACTTTTTTTAAATAAATATTTTTAGTTGTAGATGGACACAATACCTTTATTTGTTTGTTTGTTTGTTTATTTATTTATATTAATCTATTTATTTAATATGGTGCTGAGGAGCAAACCCAGTGCCTCACTGTGCTAGGCAAGTGCTCTACCACTGAGCTATAATTCCATCCCAGAATTGAGCATTTAACCAAGTACAGAGGGCGGAAAGTGGTCTCCAGTTCTCAAATATCAAATGGTAATAAATTTGGAAACAGCACTGTTTCCTTTGTTCTCTGCTCAGAGATGGCAGATCCACTCTCTCCCTTGAGAGTGATCTCAACTTGAGCCTTACTTTCACCCTACTCTAACTTCCACTTTACCTTCACTTATAATACAGCTCTGCCTCAGTGGTGCCTCAAGGTCTTGTCATAGGAAATGTCACCAAAGAAGGGTCCAATGAGTTCCCAGAGAGGAGGAGAAATTTGACTCATGACCAGTGGGGTTCTTGGTGTAAATGACAGAAAAAGGGCTGGGGTTGTGGCTCAGCGGTATAGTGCTTGCCTTGCATGTGCGAGGCCCTGGGTTGGAGCCTTAGCACCACAAAAAAAAAAAAAAAAAAAGAAAAAGAAAAAGAATTTCAGTACACACCAGTCAAAGGCATAAACAGAGATTTAAGTATGTGAAAGTAACATAAGACAAACATAAATTGCAGTGCTCAAAAGCCATCCTGAATGTGGCCTCTTATTTATGTAATTTTTAGTAGAATACACTTTTTTTTAAAAAAAAAAACTAGGCCTCAGAAAAGAAATTCTTTATGAAGAAAAAAAGTAATTAAAAGAAGATCCCTGGGGCTGGGGATGTGGCTCAGTGCCAGAGCGCTTGCCTTGCACATGTGAGGCACTCGGTTCGAGTCTCAGCACCTCATAAATAAAATAAAGGTATCATGTCCATCTACAACTAAAAAAAAAAAAAAAAAAGAACATCCCTAAGGTCTCAAGTAATCTAGATGTACTTAAGAACTTAAAATTTTTGTTATTATTATTACTGTCATCATTATTATGTTAGATAGCAAAGACTCTTAGAGAACTTTGAGGCACTTTGAGATAAGTCATAGTCAAGTAAGTTCTAATAGAAATTTGTCTATAGCTGATGTTTTATCTCATGGCCAAGAAGGATAGATGCCAGGGCTGGGGATATAGCTCAGTTGGTAGAGTGTTTGCCTCACATGCACAAGGCCCTCACATGTTCCAGTGCCACAAAAAGAAAAACAAAAAAGGATAGATGCCTTGTGGCAATTGTCTCTCTTTATGTTGAGGTCTAATCAAAATAAACAGAAAATATACATAGACTATTAGCATTTTAAAGGAGCTTTATTTCCTTTGGCTTACTTCTGAACTGAAATACCAAATGGAATTGAATTCTTAAGAATTCTGACAAGGGGCTGGGGATGTGGCTCAAGCGGTAGCGCGCTCGCCTGGCATGCGTGCGGCCCGGGTTCGATCCTCAG